CAACAGAATTTGCTCTCCTCAGTGCTGTGGCAGTATCCTGCTGGGGGACCTCCTGCAGTCTAGGCTCCCTCAGCCCTACTCCCACTCTCTGACAGCAGAGGGGAAAGGCCCTGCCAGCATGTGCTGCTGGACGGCTGAGACAGCTGGGGTGGGAGTCGTAATAACACGTCATCGTTTCACCCCTTACCTGGGCGATTATACCCTGGATTGTCCTGGGTGGAAATCTGGTACATAGGAGATGGCCCGGAGAAGAGATGGGGAGGCTGAGGCTGACCATAAGAATTCACTGCCAAACAAAGGGAAAAGAACCATGAGTGATCCCCTCACTCAGCTCGCCTGGCACTGACTGGGCGTCGCAGCTCAGCCACAGAACAGACTGACTGACACTCGCCAGGGAGAATCAGGAAGTGTTCAATGGACAGGCCCTGACAGTGCATTACAGCTCAGCCACGGTACCAAAACTATCTTGTTATTCTACTGGGTTAAAGTGGGGAATTTTGGCCCATCGCCCCCTTCCTAGACATATCCCAAGTCAGGTCAAAATCAAGCTGCTGCAAGGCCATGATCTCTCCGCGCTGCCCTTGTCCGCTCCTCATAGAACATCATCCAAACCATTCCTGCCCCACCAATCTCTGCTACAAAAATCACCCCAACACCTCCACACAATGTGACTAACAGCTGCCTCTCATACTACAATCCTCCTCTTCCTCACCCGCACCCTCAGTCAGGGCTCATCTAATGCCCCTCAGTCCTTCCCTGTAATCCCCCTGCTATTCCAGTCCTGGGCTCCCCACCTAGCTCTGCCAATGCCCCTCAGTCCTGCCCTGCAGCCCCTCTGCTTCTTCATGACTGGCCCCCTCACATGTAAGGAAATAAAGAGTTCAAATCCATTTCCTCTGATTGCTTCAGAACAGAAAACAACATCACTGAAAAGAGATGCAAATTCATTTCCTTACAGTTCTGCTGGGGAAAGGGTACAGAGTTTTGTGAAGCTCATTATATTTTTCTTTCCTCTTTTATGTAATTTATTTATGGTGATGAGGAGGGAGCTGTTACGAAACAGCACATTTATATCCACAAAGGGGGAAATGAGGGTGCAGTGTGGTGATATGCGGAGACCCCTCTCATTTTTCCCACGATATGCACTAAGGCATGTGTTTCACTTCCGCTTGGCTGCAAATCAAGGATCTGGTCTGGTTTGAGTGAAAGTCACTGGAAGGTACTAAAGGTATTTTTCATGTGCTGGCCATTGTCATTAGAATCTCATATTCCATCGAGTTACAGACAGACAGAGAAACAGAAATGGCACTTAGTTGAGTGTAAGGTTTTAAACAGACAAACAGAAATACTGTTGAGTTGAATGTAAGGCCCCACTGTGCTTGGCCAATTAATCTGTGTAACTTCTCACTGCATGATATTATTGAGGTAAAAAGTGGAGTAAAAGTAACAAGATTTGACACCTACATGAATCGAAAGCTGTAGTATTTTCAGTGATGCTACCTACGGTAAAAATGGCTGAGGCTAATAGTCCTCATGCTTCAGAGTGAAATCTGATCATCAGCTGGTGGTTGGGAAGAAATTTCCTTGCAGTGAGGTGCATTATAGGGTTTTGTGTCTTCTTTTTGAGGCAGCTGGCATTGGCCTCTGTTGAACATGGTATTCCAAATTAGATGGACCAGGTTAACAGGAGTTGGGATATAAGATTAGATGGATCCAATATACAGGAGACAGGATACATGACCAGATGGATCAATGTTCTGATCGGGTACACCAGGAAGTGGGATACTAGACAAAATAGACCAGTAATGTGATGTGGTCCAGCAGGCTATCGAATGCTGAACTAGATGGAGCAATAATATGTGTTAGCTTGGCAAGAGACAAGAGACAAAATCTACTGCTTTAATCTCATGCGGTGAGTCCAATTTTCTTATGAAAACTTTGATTTCCAATCTATGCTCCCTAATAACTTCTAGGTCTGCTTACTTTTCCATTCCTTCTTATTGTAAGCACCATACTTGCCCACATGCCACTGTTGCATTATCTCAGCAGCATCAGGCCAGATGTTTTGCAGCTCATGTTTTCTGATTACAGAAGTGACTCATTCTTGCCGTTCCGCTTGGGTGCAAAAAATTTTAAGATAACCGGCTTAAAAAAAAGTCAGTTCCTAAACTTACCATATAAGTTGTTCTCTGGTGACTCCAGAGCCAGTGCTTAAGACAAGAGCTATGATCAGAGTGGTTCTTGCTCTCCAGTGAATTGAGGAGTCGGCTGTACCAGGGTATGTACAGAAGACAGACAGCATTCTGATCTATAATTTCTCCGTATTGCTCTTTCCCTCCATCTGTCACTCTTAAAGCATCTCTCTTTCCCTACCTTTGTAGTCATTTGTTACTTCCTCCATGCCTCTCTCTTTTAGGGATCTAGGAAACATTGGGTGGGAGAGTGTGACAGGACCTCTAGATAGATTCATCCAGCTCCCTGTCTTGGAGCAGAATTGATTTCAGTTTGTATAAAGCATCTTCTTTTGACTATTCACTGTATATAGTCTGAGAGGCAGCTTGGTGCAGTGGCGAAGGCAGCGTTCTGTCTTGGCTCTGTGTGTGTATCAGCAAAGGGGGTTCTCCATAGCAGCATTTCTGCTCTGAAAAGTGGCATTGACCATCTCTCTCAAGGATTTATGTATGTACGTATCAAATGCAATCTGGTGACAAGTAAAACAATGTCCTTTTGCTCTAACTCCCAGCCCAACATACTTGGGGCTTGTCTTCACATACGGTGATACAGGGCCGCAGTAGCACCAGTGCAGTGTTTATTGAGGATGCTCCTATGCCAACGGGAGAGCTTCTCCCACCTGAGTAGTAAATCCATCTCCCCGGGAGGCAGCAGGTGTGTTGGTGGGAGAAGCTCTCCTATCGATGTAGTGCAGTCCAGACAGGGGACTAGGTCGATGTAACTACGTCACTCAGGCCTGTGGATTTTCCACACCCCTGAATGATGCAGTTATACAGATATACGTCTGTAGCGTAGACCTGGCCTTGTTCTGGGATCTTGGAATGCACACCTCAAATCAATTCAAAATGCTACTCTTCCTCAGTAGTCTCTCTGAGCACGTCACCCCCACACCCACCACCCCTTTGTTTCCCTCATTGGCTCTCCCATCTTCACTGTATCGAATACAAACTACTAGTCTTTACTTTGAAGGCAGCTTAGCCCTCCCTTACCAAGCCTTTATTGGCCATTTTCCTCAAGCACCTTCATGCTTTCAGCTATGCTGCCCCCTAACTGGGGAGCAGCTCCCGCATCACAATCCATAGTGTCCCTTCTTAAAACTCACCTCTGCTGTGATGCCTAAATCTCTTGACAATGGGTAGGCAGCTGATGTGGTAAGACTGCTGCTGATTATGTTAATCATTATTGTTTCATTGTTTACCTTGTCCTCCCCTCCTTTGTGTCTCATCCATCTTTTGTCTCATCGTATGTTACAGACTGTAAACTCTTTGGGGCAGGGCCTGTTTCATTTTTATTATGTGTGTTCAGTGCCTGATTGGAGCCTAGTTGCTAGTGTAACAGAAATTTATAATAATAAATAATAATAATAATAATAATAATAATAATAATAACAGAATCACGCTGGGTTCTGTCCTTCTCATGCTTCACCAGCAATAATGAAGATGTTGCATGCTGAATTAGACCCTTGGTGACCCCTGTGCAATTTCACTATATTCCTATCATGCCCTAAGTGATACTTCTGCAACCTGATTCTCTTTATGGGTCTGGCATCGGTCTAACTGCCTGGAACTTGTAAATAATTCTGTTAATGCACAGGACTAAATAGAATCAAGCTCCCTCTCACTGAGCTATCTTGGCTCTGCTAGGGGAACACGAGTGAAAAGCAGTCAAAACTATTTTAGTCATTCACGTGAGTAAATCTGGCTCTGAACACATCCAAGGGCTGAGGGAGAGGTGTTGTTTTTACATTGCCTCTTTTCAGAGTAAAACTGTACTTTCATCTTTCCGTGCCTGTTTCTTCATCTGGAGATAATCACAGATTCATAGGACTGGAAGGGTCCTCGAGAGGTCATCTAATCCAGTCCCCTGCACTCATGGCAGGACTAAGTGCTACATAATCACACTTTCTGACGTATGTAGAGGTCTTTGAGATCTATTAAGTACTGTTATTACGCCATATTCCAATTTCTCTTCTTCTCTCAATAGACCCCTTTATTTACCTTTCCTTTTTCTATCCATCTATTTCTTACGCTTCATACTGTGTCGCTCCTTCCTTGGAATAGTGGGGGTTGGGGAATGCTCAGGATTAAGCTGCATTGGGTAGGAAAGCAGGGGAGAAGGAAGGTTTACACAAGACTTTTGCTGGAAATGTCCCCTTCTGTATGGAATCGCTGACTCCACCGTTCTAGTTGTTACATCATGGAAACAGTTGCAAATCAGAGGCTCCTGCGAATAAAAAAATTGCTTTCAAGGCATAAACCTCACCACCCAAGAGAGAGGAAACCACTTCTATTTTAAAGGAACTAAGACTGAGTTCTTGCAGAAAAGGAGAGAATTATATATCTTTTATAGAGAGTTAAAAGGAGATGAGGAGGGACAGCTGGAATTAGGGTAACCGGGAGTGTAAATAAAGGATAATCTCTAATAAGGATAGTGCTGGCATTAAAGGCGATTTTGGACATAGGAGAACACCAACCCTTACACTGTGGCACTATGACCACTTCTAGTGGCTAGACCACATAGAGATGTATGATTTTGCTACAGCCTTTGCACTAGTACAGCCAGGTCTTCCTGCTCAGGCAGTAGGGGGGACTTGTGCTCTCATATTGATAGCTTCTAGGTTCAATCCTGACTGCTGACAACCCACACAAGGTTGTTCTGATACATACAGACAGTGTGATCTTGGGGTTGGGCACATACAGCTAGCAGTGGGGTGTGTTAATGGTGTTAATAGCAAATGATCTTCTATTTTTTCCCCACCAGTATCTAAAGACTATGTCTCTGCTCCTGAGTAGTAACAGCACATACAAGCCAGATGATGGTGCCACACTACATTACGAGCCAGAAATCATTGGTTCCTTAATTATCTTCATTCTCACCTTTATCCTGGGCCTCCTGGGCAATGGCTTAGTGATCTGGGTGGCTGGCCTGAAAATGAAGCGGACCGTGAACACTGTGTGGTTCCTGCACCTTGCCATCGCTGACTTCCTGTGCTGCATGTCTCTGCCATTCTCCATCATTCACCTGATCCTCCAAGAGTACTGGCCATATGGCCGCTTCCTCTGCAAGGTTATCCCATCAGCCATCATCCTCAACATGTTTGCCAGCGTCTTCCTCCTCACTGCCATCAGCATTGACCGGTGCCTGATGGTGAGGAAGCCAGTTTGGTGTCAAAACCACCGTACTGTGAGGCTTGCAACAGTGATGTGTGGTTGCATATGGCTCCTGGCCTCCTTTATGTGTAGTCCTGCCTTCCTCTACCGTGAGACCGTCAAAGATGAATTTGGGAAAACTGTGTGCTGTTATCAGTTTGGAGATTATAGGGATTATGGAGATTCTATGGATTATGGCAACGATTCAGCCATGAGCTCTGGCTTATCCCAAGATGAATATCCTGCGGAAGACACAACTGATTCTGAGTTAACCGAGTCTGCTGCCAGCTCGCCTAATGGTGGCATATTTCGAAAGTCCAGTGTTCTCCCTTCAGAGTTATCTGACACTCCTGGTGGTTTCTCCAGTGCTAATATTCCTGGCAGCCTTTACCATGATACTGACTTACTGGGGAACTTCTGTAGTCAGGCAACCACCCCACTGACCATCAGTATTACCAGGATTGTCTTTGGCTTCCTCCTTCCCTTTATCATAATGGCAGCTTGCTACATCCTTATAGTCGTCAAGATGCATGGAGCCCAATTTACCAAACCCCGTGGTAAGACCCTGCGAGTGATCCTGGTTGTGGTGGTTGCATTCTTTATCTCTTGGGCTCCGTTCCATGCAGTTGGGGCACTGTCTCTCCTAGCTATGCCGGGCACTGGATTTAGGGAGGCAGTAGCACTGTGGGACCATCTCTCTATAGCACTAGCCTATGCCAACAGCTGCATCAACCCTTTGCTCTATGTATTTGTGGGGCAGGACTTCAGGCAGAAGGCACGCCAATCGGTGCAGGGCATCTTGGAGGGCGCCTTCAGCGAGGAAGTTACACGCTCCACTTCCTACTCACGGGACAGGACCAAGACTTCAGCATACAGGGATATCAGCAGCAACACCCTCTAAAATGGGGCTTCCAGACAGCACTGCCAGGGCAGGGGGAAGACATTTGCACCTTCCATGGCTGTGACTTTTTGCTTTAGGACAGCAGAGCCAGAACAATGAGTTTGACAATGATCTGTATGGGATGCCCATGGGGACTGGGGCAATTCAGAACAGGCCAACCTCCTCTTTAATAGCCTCCTGAAGAGACGGAGAGTTAGACATGCCAAAAAAAGGAATCTTCTGATGAGACATACGAGGGAGGCAGAGAGCCCCCATTTGAGAGAGAGAAATGCACTTGTGGGAAGATGTGTGGTGGGATTATGTAGTTACTCCTTGACATTACTAAATAAGAATGTGGTTGCAGAATATCTATGTTCTACATTTATTAAGCATGTATCACATCATCTGTACCTGCAAAATTACAGGCAGAAGTTACTTCGACATTTCTCCTTGGAATTTGTCATTATACCTTTCCCCACCCTTAACTTTCCCCACCTTTAACTCTGCTTCAGCTGGGACCCTGAACTTTTTTCACAGCAGTGCCCAGCAGGAGTGTACTCTGGGAATTCTCACAACAGTGCGCTCTAGCCAGGGCCGGCGCAACCCATTAGGCGACCTAGGCGATTGCCTAGGGTGCTACAATTTGGGGGGCGGCGACCGCGGCGGTATTTTGGCGGTGGGACCTACTTGCTCATCAGCATCGGAAGCTGCCTTTCAGGCCAGTATTCCTAGGGTCTTTCAGTTTCAGTTAACCATGGCCATCCACCCTACTATTCCTGTCCCCAAAGGGCCATTTCTCTTATTTTCATGGCAGCTCAAGGAGAGTTTCTACATCGCAGCTAATACATCACTGCACAGAATCAGTAACTGGGGCATAAGGGGCAATTTTCTGAAAAACAAGCCTCATGCTGTGGACATGGGTTCATTAGAAATAGGACCCTCCTTTATGGCTTTAGAAGGTTCCCTTGATATTACAGCCTGAGATACAGTGATGATGCAATTGAGGTAGGTCCCACCAATCATG